TATAATGGTGAGTCTAAAGAAAAAGCATCTGATACCCCTTTATATATTTTTGAACCTAAAAGAGGACTAAAAAAGTGGTATTGGTCAGCAATTTTAAGAAACACAAGGAAAATACTTGAAAAACAACAGGCATTTAATATTCTTGTTGGAGACATGTGGCACCTCCTGTGACACCCTCTCACTCCCGCACACATGACCGTTTCAATGAGTATAAAGATACACAGCCATTTCTTGAAAGGCGAAAAGCATTTGGCCAAGCTGATGATAGTGAAGAGGGTGAAATAAGGAATACAAGACTCCATGTCTGCACAGAAGCATCAAAAGGCCAAGAGTGAACCTGTAAAATGTATCAGAGACTATTTTTACACAGCTATGCAAACTCCTCAAAAACTTTCCATTGGGAAAGAAAAAAGAAAGCAGAAAGACAAGCTGTCTGATGACTGTAACAGACTTCATTATTACAAAATTATTAAAATGTTAACTTTCTTTTCATATTTGTGGAACTGGGCAGAGATCACAGGACCTTGCCTATCAAATCTATACTGACATCAAGTTGAAACCCTAAGCACTACACTGACACTGGTTCCATATTTTCTCTAGTGAAGCACTGACAAAGATTCTTACAGGTTTCTCTTTGTCTTTTTCACCATTTTTTCCAACTGCGAAGGGCGGAGGAGAGAGCAGGGGAGACTGGGTCTTTAGCACTTGCGGAGCAACACTGCCATCATGCGGAAGAAGTTTCATGAAGTCCCAAGTGCAGAGCAGCTCCTCCATGAAGAGCAGGAACCAGCAAAGAAAGCAGGGCTTCCTGATATCACACAGAGCCAGATCTAAGTTGTCTTCTACCCTTTCTTTGTGAGGCAAGCAGAAGAAAGGCAGAGATGCTGAGTGTTGGAGCAAAACTTGGAGAGTGAGGGACCAGGACTGAAACTTCAGCTGTCCCTTCATGATTCTCCACCCCCACCCCCACTTCCTGTAATGGCGCCTCCAGGCAGCTGCGGGTCCACTCTGGGTCCCTCAGTCCCCACTCCAAGGCAGCGCCAGTGTGTACAGCTCTTGTGGAACCTTGAAATCAATAGGCCATGCCTGGAGCCAAAGGTCCTACTAATTCACTACAAGTAGAATATTCCCCAACATTTGATTAAACAGCAAGGAAGCCATATTGGGGCTGGGTATGAGGAAAGTCATTCCCCAGGATGGCAGCACTGCTCCAGGTTCCATCTTACTGAACTCTTCACGCACCCTTCTTGATTTAAAAAAAACAAGTCAAAGTTTCAAAAAGTCCAGGAAACATGGCTGCCTTGTACTTTACGGGGCCTGGTATAATTAGCTCACTGTGGGGATTTTGCTTTGGTTTAGGAGGCCCTTAGCCACATTCCTTCTTTGGGACTCTCCTGATGTGTCGGCATGCATCTAAACATTGCTGATGCTCTGTTAGGGAGCCTGCACAGTGAAAGGCCAGTTGCCAGGGAGCAGAGCACGGGGATTCTGATGCAGGAGGACATGTGCAAGGCCGAGGATGCTTTCCACTGTGCGCTTTATTAGAGGACTTCACTCCAAGTAAAACACAGGAATTTCTGTGCAGAATTACTTGTTGTGTTTTTGTCCTTTGGGAGCTTTCACTAGGTGTCACTCTGCTCTGGCACTTGCATCCTTGTAGCAGGTATAAAGCACAAGTGAAAGAGTTCCTAGTGATGAGTTACAAGAACTGGAATACATAGTGAGACTCTGATACTGTTAGGCAGAAATGTGTCTAGAATTATTTGAGGACTTAGAAAGCCCGAAAAGTGGTTGCTCTTATTCAAGCAAACAATTCCGGAAAGCTTTTCTTTAGGAGAGATTTCAAAAACCCACCAATACTCCCCATATTGTGGTGAGTCCAAACAAAAAGTATCTCATACACCTTAATCTATTGTTGAATCTTTAACATGACTAAAGAAGTGGTATTGGTCAGCAATTTTAAGAAACTCAAGGAAAATTTTTGAAAAACAAAAGTATTTAATATCCTTCTTGGAGACATGTAGCACCACCTGCGACAATCCCTCACTCCCCCAGACATGACCATTCCAATGTGTATACTGTAAGGATGCACAGCTGTTTCTTGAAAGGCAAAAAGCATTCATGAAAGCTGATGTTAGTGTGGATGGTGAAATAAGGAATACAAGATTCCATGTCTGCACAGAAGCATCAAAGGTCGAAGAGTGAACCTGTAAAATATTACAGAGACTACCTTTACACAGCTGTGCATCTCTTCAAAAACTTTAACTTTGGAAGGCTTCAACAGAAAATTTTTGACAATTTTTTTTTAGTTTCTTGCTTTTTAGAAATGGTGCTTTGGTGTTTTAAATTGCCTGTTTGCAATGAAAGACACTGACTCTTAAAAGTTTTAGAAAAAAACCAATAAGATGAATAAATTGTCCTTTGAAAGAAAGAATTACATAGAATAACCCTTATCCAATCGTATGACCCTGATGAAAAGAAAAAATACATCCAAACCACAGCACTTAAAATTAAAGTAAAAAATTAAAGACAACAAATTCCATAGAAATCTTCAGGAATAAGAGTAATTACCTTGCAAATGTATACTGTAACAGATTAGAGAATTCAAAAGAAATACACACACACACACACACACACACACACACACACACACACAGAGAGAGAAAAACTACCAAGAAAAAATAAGTAGACTAAAAAAAATCCATTGACGGGAAATGAAATGGAAGATGCAATGTAAAAACATAACAAGGAAATTCTAGGTCTTGGTGGATGCAGTGCACAGTTCTGTAACCCCTTTAATGAAAACCTATCACTAGTACTCCCCAACAGTTTTACAAAATTGAAAGGATTACTCTGAGAACCATTCCTGGGATGAGCCCATTACCATGGTCCCTAAATCAAGAAATGTCCAAATCAAACCAAAAAAAGAAAACTAAATCACAATTTTCAATGAACAAAACACATACTTCCTGAAGAAAATGCTGGTAACAAGAATGTAACTAACTCATCGAAAAGAGAATACAACCTGATGAAGTAGGATTTCTTTCGGGGACACACGTGTTGTCATGTGAATGTGTGAGTTTGAGAGATTCCAATGTTTAAGGATCCTAATGTTTGCTTTCTTTCTTTTGCACTTTTAAAGGCAGACTTTTAAGATCTCTCCTCCTACTCAGACAGGGTCAACGCAAGTCGGTACCCAGAGAGTTAGTGCCTCAAAATCAAACTTTAGGAGACAAGCTTTTCATTCTGCAGATTTGAAGGATTGAAACAACAGTCTTTACAGTGATGTAGAGGACATTCCTTTCTGTTTTACACTGAGTCTAATGGGTATCAGAATTTGGAATAACACAGACTCAGCCTCCAAGATCACTGAGATTACAAGACATGTTCATTACAGACAGGCTTCATGGAACTAGGATAAAACTATGTGACTAAGAATACCAATTTTTAAAGAATATATATATTTACATAATAGTTATAGACCATATGAATGTAAGTGTGTATCTATGGAGATGAATAGGTTTCTCTGGATAAAAATGATAAAGGAGAACCTAGCATTTTGATCACAACCCACTAATGAAGACCATTGTGATAATGGGGAACGAAACTCCTGACCTACCATGTCCAGGATAAGTTTTCTTCCCTAAAACAGAATGCACTTTATGAACAATGAAGGTTCAGAGTAGACTATATTTATGGACAGAAAGAAAGCTTCTGTGGGAGAGAGACAGAAGGGATCCCGAGCAGGTTGCCAAGGACTCTGATTTTTGCCGGGACTTTTATAGAGTAAAATCATGAGATTAAATGGGTCAAAGGTGGGGAAAAAATGGGAATTTGCAAGGTGAGAGACAACTGGGTTCACCCAGTAATATTAATGGCTCAGGTACAATTGATTAAATCAGGAACAAATGGAGAATAGAGGCACAGAATAAGCTGGCATGCTTTGCAGCCTGAGGCTTCGTGTAAGGTTGAGAGGCTGACTCCTGACTTCCTCAGGGTGATGGAGAACTATCTGAGTTACCAATGCTTGATATGTGCATGTATTTGTTTTGCTTCTCTCTTGAGATCTGGCCATAGCAGGGGGTGTTTGTTTCTTCCTAGGCTGCAAGGTATGTGAACCTGTACTCTGGCTCCTTTGAGGGCTCAGCCCTGTCAGAACGCCTGTTATTTCTCACTAACTCAGCTTCCTGTGACAGCTACAGTCAGGAGGCTGAGACAAAGAGGATCCTTGAATTTAGAGATTCTTAGGCTTTTACAAAGTGAGTTCAAAGTAAGAGTTCAAAGTAAGTCGAAACCCCATAGGAACCCTTGCCTTTTTTTTTTTCTTACCAGTACCAGGGATTGAACTCATGACCATGCACTTCCAAGGCAGGTACTTGTGGCGCTGGTCTAAATCCCCAGCCAGAGACCTTGTCTTAAAAAGAAAAATAACCATTGTGAATCTCTAATACTATGTTTTTAAATTTTGTATTATCCTTTTTCTTTTTTTCCTTTTAAAATAAAAGAAGAGTTATCACTGTGTACTACACAGGTTTATGATGAGGCCTGACTCTTCACGAACACATGGCTATTTCCTGAATCCCTCTGATGGTCTATGTTGAGTTATCAAGGAGACATATAAGAGCTATCCCTAATAGAACACAACAAACAAAATGCAGAACACAGCCCTGGGAACACGGGACAGGACACTTACTGGGACAAAATGCTTTTATTCCATTCTTCAAGGATAAATACATGGGCCAAAATCATCTGTCCAGCTTGAATATATACGCATTGAATATATGAGTCCCTCCAGGTAAGCACTGCTCAGCCTTCAGGGTGTGAGGCCCCCCTAAAGTCAGCCTGTGGGGAACACACAGGGACTGGGGCTCAGCTCAGAAAGTGCAGTGGGGCTTTCAGGAAACCTGAACATTCAGTCAGGAGCAAGCAAGGAACACACTGCAGCCTGGAGTTGTTCCTCAGGAAGCCCAGAGTTTTAAGTATTTCATTTTCCTTCCTAGGCATTGTTCCCTGTGCCTTGGTCATCAATACCAAGAAGACAATTTGATGATCTAGAGCAATCTGGCTTGATCATTCTATGTCTCTTGGAGGTAGAATGCTGGCTGAAGAAGAACAATAAGAGGAAGACTGGACCTTTGAAACTGGTTCCAGATTAAGAATGGCTGGTGCTGAGTTTCATTAGGAAAAAACCAAAAAGGAATGAAGAAAGAAAGAAAAAGACAAGCTGTCTGATGACAGTGAGTACCTTAGACTTCACTATTACAAAATTATTAAAATGTTAATTTTCTTTTCATATTTGTGGAGCTGGGAAGACGTCATAGGACCTTGAGTATCAAATCTATACTGACATCAACTTGAAAGCCAAAGCACTATACTAACAGTGGTTCCATGTTCTCTAGAGAAGCAATGGATAAGGTTCTTTTAGGTTTGTCTTTGTCTTTTTCAGCGTTTTTTGCAACCGCGAAGGGCGGAGGGAGAGAGGAGGGACACTGGGTATTTGGCGCTTGCAGAGCAACACTGCCATCGTGCGGAACAGGTTTCATGAAGCCCCAAGTGCAGAGCAGCTCCTCCATGAAGAGCAGGAACCAGCAAAGAAAGCAGGGCTTCCCGATATCACACAGAGCCAGATCCAAGTTGTCTTCCACCCTTTTTTTGTGAGGCCACCATGAGAAAGGCAGAGGTGCGGAGTGTTGGAGCAAAACTTGGAGAGTGAGGGAGCAGGACTGAAAGTTTAGCTATCACTTGGATCAGTCTGCACCCCCACCCCCACTTCCTGTAATGGCGGCTCCAGGCAGTTGCGGGTCCACTCCGGGTCCCTCAGTCCACACTCCAAGGCAGCGCCAGTGTGTACAGCTCTTGTGGGACCTTGGAAAGAAGGAAACCCCGTCTGGAGCCATAGGCCCTACTAATTCACTACAAGTAGAATCTTTGGCGACAGTTGAGTATCACAGCAAGGAAGCCATAATGGCGCATGGTATGAGGTAAGTGGTTTCGCATGATGGCAGCATTGCTCTGCGGATGAGTGCCATGGAACTCTTCTCCCGCCCTTCCTGTTGCAAAAAAACAAGTCAAAGAGTGAAAAATGCCTGGAAACATGGCTGCCTTGTACTTTAACTGGCCCGGGGCACCAGCTCACTGTGTGGGGCTTTTGCTCTGGTTTTTGGATGCCCATAGCCAGGTTCCTTCTTTGGGACTCTCCTAATGTGTCAGGATGCATCTGAACATTGCTGATGCCCTGTTACAGAACCTGGAGGTTGGAAGGCCAGTTGCCAGGGTCCGGAGCACAGGCATTCTCATCCAGTAGGACATGTGCAAGGCTGAGGATGCTTTCCACTGTTTGCAGTGTTAGAGGATTTCACGCCAAGTGAAACACAGGAATTTATGTGCGAATTATTTGTTGTGTTTTTGTGCTTTGTAGCTTCCACTTGGTGTCACTCTGCTCTAGCACCTGCATGCTTGTAGCAGGTATAAAGCAAAAGTGACAAAGAGAGTTCCTCGTTCCACATTATAGGAACTGGAATATTCAATGAGATTGTCAGTTATATAGAAATGTGTCTAGACTTGCTTTAGGAATTTTAAGCCGCAAAAGTGGTTCCTACTATTCAAGCAAAAAATTCTAGAGAGTTTTTCTTAAGAAGAGAGTTTAAAAAGCCACAAATAATGCCTATATTTTGGTGACTTCAAACAAAAAGCATCTCGTTCTCCTTCATCAATTTTTGATGCTTACAGATGAGTAAAGAAGTGGTATTGGTCATTACTTTTAAGGAACACAAGGAAAAATTTTAAAAAAACAACAAGTATTTAATATCCTTGTTGGAGACATGTAGCACCAACTGTGACACCCTCTCACTCCCACACACTTGACCATTTCGAGTTGCATACTATAAGGATGCACAGCTGTTTCTTGAAAGGCAAAAAGCATTCATGAAAACTGATGTTAGTGTGGATGGTGAAATAAGGAATACAAGACTTCATGTCTGCACAGAAGCATCAAAGGGCCAAGGGTGAACTTGTAAGATATTACAGAGACTACCTTTACACAGCTGTGCATCTCCTCAGAACTTTAGCTTTGGAACACTTCATCAGAAAAGACAATTTTTTTAGTTTCTTGCTTTTTAGAAATGGTGCTTTGGCACTTTACACTGCCTGTTTGCAATGAATGACACTGACTCTGAAGTTTTAGAAAAATACCAATGAGATAAATAAATTTTCCTTTGAAAGAATGAACTGCATAGAAAAACCCTTATCCAATCATATGACCCTCCTGAAAAGAAAAAATAAATCCAAATCACAGCATTTAAAATTAGAGTAAAAAATTGAAGAATGATAACAAATTCCATAGAAATCCTCAGGAATAGGAGTAAATGCCTTGCAAAGGTATACTGTAATAGATTGCAGAATTCAGAAGAAACACACACACACACACACACAAAATACCAAGAAAAAATAAATAGCCTAAAAGAAATCCATTGACGGCAAATGAAATGGAAGATGTATTGTAAAAACATAACAATTAAGGAAATTCTTGGTCTTGGTGGATGCAGTGCACAGTTCTGTAACCCCTTTAACGAAAACCTATCACTAGTACTCCCCAATAGTTTTACAAAACTGAAACAATTACTCTGATAACCAATTCATGGGACGAGCCATTGCCATGGTCCCTAAATCAAGTAATGTCCAAACCAAAAAAAAAAAAGAAAACTAAATAATTTTTAATGAACAAAACACATACTTCCAGAAGGAAATGCTAGTAACAAGAATGTAACTAACTCATCGAAAAGAGAATGCAACCTGATGAAGTAGGATTTCTTTAGGGAACACACGTGTTGTCATGTGAATGTGTGAGTTTGACAGATTCCAATGTTTAAGGATCCTAATTTTTGCTTTATTTTCTTTGGCATTTTAAAGGCAGACTTTTAAGTTCTCTTCTACTACGTAGACATGGTCAACGCAAGTTGGTACCCAGAGAGTTAGTGCCTCAAAATTAACCTTTCGGAGACTAAGGTCATTCTCCAGAGTTGAAGGATTGAAACAACAGCCTTTGCACTTAGACACATCCCTTTCTATTTTTCACTGAGTCTAGTGAGTTTCACAATTTGGAATAACACTGCCTCAGCCTCCAAGATTGCTGAGATTATGGACATGCGGTAGGCTTCATGGAACTAGGATAAAAATATGTGACTATGAATACCAATTTTTAAAGGATGTATATACATATTTAAATAATGTATATAGACCGTATGTGTGTTAGTGTGTATGTACGGAGATGAATAGGTTTTCATGGCTAAAAATGATAAAGGAGAACCTAGCATTTTGATCACAACCCAGTAATGAAGACCATTGTCATAATGGGGAATGAAACTCCTGACCCACCATGTCCAGTACGAGTTCATGTTGTCTAAAAGAGAATGAATTTTAGGAACAGTGCAAGTTAAGAGTAGAATATATTTAAGGAGAGAAAGAAAGCTTCTGTTTGAAAGAGAGAGAAGGGGTCCCAAGCAAGTGGCAAGGACTCTGATTTTTCCAGGAACCTTTATAGAGTAAAATCATGAGATTAAGTGGGTCAGAGGTGGGGAAAAATGGCAATTTACAAGGTGACAGACAACTGTGTTCACCCATTAAGATTAGTGGCTCAGGTACAATTTATTAAATCGGGAACAAATGGGGAACAGAGGCACAGAATAAGTTGGCATGCTTTCCAGCCTGACCCTTCCTGTAAAGTTGGGAGGCTGACTCCTGACTTCCTCAGGGTGATGGAGAACTATCTGGGTTACTGATCCTTGGTATGTGGGTGTATTTGCTTTGCCTTCTGTCTTGAGATCTGGCCCATAGCAGGAGGTATTTAGTTCTTCCTAGGCTGCAAGGTATGTGAACTTGTGCTCTGGCTCCTTTGAGGCCTCAGCCCTGTCAGAATGCCTGTTATTTCTCACTAACTCAGCTTCCTGTGACAGCAACTCTCATGAGGGTGAAGCAGGAGGTTCTTTGAATTTCCAGAGTTTTAGGCTTTTACAAAGTGAGTTCAAAGCCAGCCTAGGAGACATTTAAGAGCTCTCCCTACCAGAAAACAATAATGGACCATCACCATGGGAACATGGGATAGACCACTAAGTGGGAGAAAATGCTGCTACTCCATTCTTCAAGGATAAATACATGGGCCAAAATCTTCTCTCTGACATGAATATATGAATGTTCAACATATGAGTCCCTCCAGGTAAACACTGCTCAGCCATCAGGGTGTGAGGCCCCCCTAAAGTCAGCCTGTGGGGAACACACAGGGACTGGGGCTCAGGTCAGAAAGTGCAGTGCCACTTTCAGAAACTTTAAATTTGTTTTAGGAGGAAGTAAGGAGGCACTCTGGAGCCTAGATTTGTTCCTCAAGAAGCCCAGAATTTTAAGTATTTTATCTTCCTTCCTATAGATCCCTGTGGCTTGGCCATCAATACCAAGAAGAAAATTTGATGATCAAGAGAATTCTCTGGAGGTAGAATATTGAGGGAAGAAGAACAATAACAGGAAGACTGGATATTTGAAAGTGATTCCAGAAAACAAAAGCTAGTGCTGGTTCAATTTGGAAAAACAAAAACAAAATGAAGGAAGAAAGAATAAGACCAGCTGTCTGATGACAGTGAGTAGCTAAGACTTCACTATTACAAACTTGTTAAAATGTTAATTTTTCTTTTCAAATTCAAGGAGCTGGGGAGAGGTCACAGGACCTTGAGTATCAAATCTATACCAATATCAAGTTAAAAGCCAAAGCACTATACTACCAGTGGTTCCATAGTTTCTCTAGTGAAGCACTGAGTAGGGCTCTCATAGGTTTTGTGTTTGTCTTTTTTAGCGTTTTTTCCAACGGGGAAGGGCGGAGGGAGAGAGCAGAGGAGATTGGGTATTCTGCACTTGCGGAGCAACACTGCCATCTTGCGGAAGAAGTTTCATGAAGCACCAAGTGCAGAGCAGCTCCTCCATGAAGAGCAGGAACCAACAAAGAGAGCAGGGTTCCTGATATCACACAGAGCCAGATCCAAGTTGTCTTCTACCCTTTTTATGTGAGACCAGCAGAAGAAAGGCAGAGATGCTTAGTGTTCCATCAAAACTTGGAGAGTTAGGGACCGGGACTGAAAGTTTAGCTGTCACTTGGGTCCATCCCCTCCCCCTCTCCCACTTCCTGTGATGGCCAGGACTTCCTGTAATGGCGGCTCCAGGCAGCTGCAGGTCCTCTCCGGGTCCCTCAGTCCCCACTCCAAGGCAGCACCAGTATGTACTGCTCTTGTGGGACCTTTCAAGGAAGGAGGCCCAGTCTGCAGGCAAAGCCAATACTAATTCACTACAACTAGAATCTCCCCCAACACTTGGGTATGGCAGCAATGAAGCCATAATGGCCCTGAGTGTGAGGAAATTAATTCCGCAGGATGGCAGCATTGCGCCGTGGCCGAATCTTACTGAACTCTTCTCCCGCCCTTCCCATTGGAAAAAAGCAACTCAAAGATTCAAAAAGTCCAGGAAAGATGGCTGCCTTGTACTTTACCTGGCCTGGTGCCACCAGCTCACTGTGGCAGGGGTCTTGTAGTGTGGTTTTTGGAGGTGCTTAGCCACATTCCTTCTTTGGGACTCTCCTGATGTATCAGAATGCCTGTGAACATTGCTGATGCCCTGTTATGGATCCTGGAGAGTGGAAGGCCCCTTGTCAGCCAGCAGGGCCCAGGGCTTCTGATGCAGGAGGATATGTGCAAGGTGAGGATGCTTTCCACTGTGCTCACTGGTAGAGGATTTCACTCCAAGTGAAACACAGGAATTTATGTGCGGAATTATTTGTTGTGTTTTTGTCCTGTGGAAGCCTCTTTTTGGTGTCATTCTGCTCTGGAGCCTGCATCATTGTATGGGGTATAAAGCACAAGGGACAAAGAGAGTTCCTAAGGACATGTTACAGGAACTGGAATACTTAGAGAGATTATCAATTATACAGAAATGTGTCTAGACTTATTTCAGGAATTAAAAGCCCCAAAAGTGGTTCCTCCTATTTAGGCAAAGAATTCTAGATTATTTTTCTTAAGGAGATATTTCAAAAAAGCAACGAATACTTTGCTTTTTATGGTGAATCTAAACCAAAAGCATCATGTACAACTTTACCTATTTTTGAAGCTTAAAGATAACTAAAGATGTGCTATTGGTCAGCAATGTTAAGAAACACAAGGAAAATTTTGAAAGACAAGTATTTACTTCCTTGTTGGACACACATAGATCTTTGTACTGATGTAGAGCATATCACTTTTTATATTATACTGAGTTTAGTGGGTTTCAAAATTTGGAATAACATTTCTACAACCTCCTAGAACGCTGAGATTACAGACATGAGGTAAACTTCATGCAACTAGATTATTTTAGATACTAAGAATATCAATTTTTAAAAAATATACATATATTTACTTAATATGTATAAAATGTATGTCTGTAAGTCAGTATATATGGAGATGAAGAGGTTTTTATGTGTAAATACAATAATTGAGAACTCAGCATTTGATCAAACCCACTAATGTAGGCCATTGTGATATAGGGGAATAAAACTCCTTACCTACCATAGCAGTGCGAATTCCTGTTCCTGCAAACAGTAGAATGAATTTGAGGAATAATAATGGTTAAGGGTAGAATATATATATGGTGAGAAAGAAAGCTTCCTTCTGAGAGAGACAGAAGGGGTCCTGAGCAGGTTGTCAAGGACTTTTATCTTTGCAGGGACTTTTATAGTGTAAAATCATGAGATTAAAGGGGTCAAAGGTGGGGAAAATGGGAATTTTCAAAGTGGGAGTGAACTGTGAATAGCCAGTAATATTAATTGCTCAGGTAAAATTGATTAAGTCAGGAACAAATGGGGAACGGAGGCACAGAATAAGCTGGCATGCTTTCCAGCCTGACCCTTGCTGTAGGGGTAGGAGGCTGACTCCTGACTTTCTCAGGGTGATGGAGAACTATCTGGGTTACTAATTCTTGGTATGTGGTATATGTGCTTTGCCTTCTGTCTTGAGATCTGGCCCATAGCAAGAGGAATTTGTTCCTTTCAAGGCTGCAAGATATGTGAACGTGTGCTCTGGGTCCTTTGAGGGCTCAGCCCTGTCAGATTGGCTGTTATTTCTCACTAACTCAGCTTTCTTGGATAGCTATAGTCAGCAGGCTGAGGCAGGAGGATCCTTGGATTTCGAGAGTTTTAGGCTTTTGCAAAGTGAGTTCAAAGCCACCCCAAACTGCATATGAGACCTTGTCTTAAAAAGAAAAAAGAGCATGGTGAATCTGTAATATTACGTTTTTAAATTTTGTATCATCCTTTTTTTCCTTTTAAAACAAAAGAACAGTTACCACTGTGTAATACAAAGGTTTAAGAGGGGGCCTGAATCTTCGCGAGGGCATGGCTACTTCCTAAATCGCGCTGATGATACATGTTGAGTTATCAAGGAGACATGTACCAGCTGTGCCTAACAGAAAACAACAAACAACATACAGACTACAGCCCTGGGAACACAGGACAGGCCACTGACTGGGAGAAAATGCTTTTATTCCATGCTTCAAGGATAAATACATGGGCCAAAATCATCTCTCCAGCATGAATATATACACATTGAATATATGCGTCCCTCTAGGTAAACACTGCTCAGCCTTCAAGGTGTGAGGCCCCCCTAAGGTCAGCCTGTGGGGTACACACAGGGACTGGGGCTCAGGTCAGAAACTGCAATGGGACTGCAGGATACCTGGAATCTGAGTCAGGAGCAAGCAAGGAAGCACACTGCAGCCTGGAGTTGTTCCTCAGGAAGCCCGAGTTTTAAGTATTTCATTTTCCTTCCTAGGCATTGATCCCTGTGGCTTGGTCATCAATACCAAGAAGACAATTTGATGATCAAGAGCAATCTCTCTTGATCATTCTACCTCTCTTGGAGGTAGAATGCTGGGTGAAGAAGGACAATAAGAGGAAGACTGGAGCTTTGAAACTGGTTCTAGAAAAAAAAGGCTGGTGCTGAGTTCCATTTGGAAAACAACAACAACAACAAAAAGGAATGAAGAAAGAAAAATACAAGCTGTCTGATGACTGTGAGTACCTTAGACTTCACTATTACAAAATTATTAAAATGTTAATTTTCTTTTCATATTTTGTGGAGCTGGGAAGACGTCATAGGACCTTGAGTACCAAATCTATACTGTCATCAACTTGAAAGCCAAAGCACTACACTAACAGTGGTTCCATATTTTCTCTGGTGAAGCACTGAGTAGGGTTCCTATAGGTTTGTCTTTGGCTTTTTTAGCGTTTTTTGCAACCGCGAAGGGCGGAGGGAGAGAGGAGGGGACACTGGGTATTTGGCACTTGCAGAGCAACACTGCCATCGTGCGGAAGAAGTTTCATGAAGCCCCAAGTGCAGAGCAGCTCCTCCGTGAAGAGCAGGAGCCAGCAAAGAAAGCAGGGCTTCCTGATCTCACACAGAGCCATATCCAAGTTGTCTTCTACCGTTTCTTTGTGAGGCCAGCAGAAGGAAGCCAGAGATGCGGAGTGTTGGAGCAAAACTTGTAGAGTAAGGGAGCAGGACTGAAACTTTAGCTGTCACTTGGATCAGTCTCCACCCCCACCCCCACTTCCTGTAATGGCGGCTCCAGGCAGCTGCAGGTTTATTAGTGGTCCCTCAGCCCCCACTCCAAGGCACCACCAGTGTGTACTGCTCTTGTGGAACCTTGAAATGAAGTAAGCCCAGTCTGGAGCCAAAGTCGGTACTAATCACTACATGTAGAATATTCCTAACAGTTGCTTATAACATCAAGGAAGCTATAATGGCGCTGGGTATGAGGAAAGTCCTTCCGCACGATGGCAGCATTGCTCCATGCTAAATCTTACTGAACTCTTCTCCCGCCCTTCCTGTTGTCAAAAAACAAGTCAAAGAGTGAAAAAGTCCAGGAAAGATGGCTGCCTTGTAGTTTACCTTGCCTGGTGCCACCAGCTCACTGTGTGGGGCTTTTGCTCTGGTTTTTGAGGCCCTTAGCCACATTTCTTCTTGGGGACTCTCCTGAGTTTTCAGGATGCATCTGAACATTGCTGATGGCCTGTTACAGAACCTGGAGGGTGGAAGGTCAGTTGGCATCCAGCAGAGCACAGGGATTCTGATGCAGGAGGACATGTACAAGTCTGAGGATGCTTTCTATGGTGGGCTGTGTTAGAGGATTTCACTCCAAGTGAAACACAGGAATTTATGTGGTGAATTAATTTTGTGTTTTTGTGCTTTGGGAGCTTCCACTTGTTGTCACTCGACTCTGGCGCCTGCATCCTTGTAGCAGGTATAAAGCTGAAGTGACAAAGAGAGTTCCTAGTTATAAGTTACTGGAATTGGAATACTTAAACTGTCAATTGCAGAGAAATGTGTCTAGACTTATTTGCAGAATTAGAAAGCCCCAATAGTGGGTCTTCCTATTCAAACAAAGAATTCTGGAGAGTTTTTCTTAAGGGGAGATTTCAAAAAGCCACAGATATTCCCCATTTTGTGGTGAGTCCAAACAAAAAGCATCTCGTTCACCTTCATCAATTTTTGACACTTAAAGATGACTAAAGAAGTGGTATTGTTCTGCAATTTTAAGAAACTCAAGGAAAATTCTGAAAAACAAAAGTATTTAATATCCTTGTTGGAGACATGTAGCACCACCTGCAACACCCCCTCACTTCCACACACATGACCATTCCAATGTGTATACTGTAAGGATGCACAGCTGTTTCTTGAAAGGCAAAAAGCATTCATGAAAACTGATGTTAGTGTGGAGGATGAAATAAGGAATACAAGGCTCCATAAATACCTTGCGAATGTATACTGTAACAGATTATAGAATTCAAAAGAAACACACACACACACACACACACACACACACACACAAAGAAAAACTACCAAGAAACTGGTTCTAGAAAAAAAAGGCTGTTGCTGAGTTTCATTTGGAAAAAAACAAAAAGGAATGAAGAAAGAAAGAAAAAGACAAGCTGTCTGATGACCGTGAGTACCTTAGACTTCACTATTACAAAATTATTAAAATGTTAATTTTCTTTTCATATTTTGTGGAGCTGGGAAGACGTCATAGGACCTTGAGTATCAAATCTATACTGACATCAACTTGAAAGCCAAAGCACTATACTAACAGTGGTTCCATGTTCTCTAGAGAAGCAATGGATAAGGTTCTTTTAGGTTTGTCTTTGTCTTTTTCAGCGTTTTTTGCAACCATGAAGGGCGGAGGGAGAGAGGAGGGGACACTGGGTATTTGGCGCTTGCGGAGCAACACTGCCATCCTGCGGAAGAGGTTTCATGAAGTCCCAAGTGCAGAGCAGCTCCTCCATGAAGAGCAGGAACCAGCAAAGAAAGCAGGGCTTCTGGATATCACACAGAGCCAGATCCAAGTTGTCTTCCACCCTTTTTTTGTGAGGCCAGCAGAAGGAAGGCAGAGATGCGGAGTGTTGGAGCAAAACTTGGAGAGTCCCCTCTCCCAACATGGCGGCCTCAGCAAAAAAGAAGAATAAGAAGGCGAAGACTATCTCCCTAACAGACTTTCTGGCTGAGGATGGAGGGACCGGTGGAGGAACCACCTATGTTCCCAAACCAGTCAGCTGGGCTGATGAAACAGATGACCTGGAAGGAGATGTTTCAACCACTTGGCACAGTAACGATGATGATGTGTATAGGGCACCTCCAACTGACCGTTCCATCCTTCCCACTGCTCCACGAGCTGCTCGGGAACCTAATATTGACCGGAGCCGTCTTCCCAAATCGCCACCCTACACTGCTTTTCTAGGAAACTTGCCCTATGAAGTGACAGAAGACTCTATTAAGGAATTCTTTAGAGGCTTAAATATCAGTGCAGTGCGTTTGCCACGTGAATCCAGCAATCCAAACAGGTTGAAAGGTTTTGGTTATGGTGAATTTGAGGACCTGGATTCCCTGCTCAGTGCCCTGAGTCTCAATGAAGAGTCTCTAGGTAACAGGAGAATTCGAGTGGATGTTGCTGATCAAGCACAGGATAAAGACCGGGATGATCGTTCTTTCAGGCGAGATAGAAATCGAGATTCTGACAAAACAGACACAGACTGGAGGGCACGTCCTGCCACAGACAGCTTTGATGACTATCCACCAAGAAGAGGTGATGATAGCTTTGGCGACAAGTATCGAGATCGTTATGATTCAGACCGGTACCGTGATGGGTATCGGGATCGGGATGGCCCACGCCGGGATATGGGTCGATATGGAGGCCGAGATCGATATGATGACCCAGGCAGCAGAGACTATGATAGAGGCTATGATTCCAGAATAGGCAGTGGCAGAAGAGCCTTTGGTAGTGGGTACCGTAGAGATGATGATTACAGAGGAGGAGGAGACCGATATGAAGACCGGTATGACAGACGAGATGATCGACCTTGGGGCTCCAGAGATGATTACTCACGGGACGATTATAGGCCTGATGACAGAGGTCCCCCCCAAAGACCCAAACTGAACCTAAAGCCTCGGAGTACTCCTAAGGAAGATGACTCTTCTGCTAGTACCTCCCAGTCCAGTCGAGCAGCTTCTATCTTTGGAGGAGCAAAGCCTGTTGACAGGGCTGCCAGAGAAAGAGAAGTGAAAGAACGGCTACAAAAAGAGCAGGAGCAGCTGCAACGGCAGCTGGATGAGCCGAAACAAGAACGATGGCCTTCGGAAAAGACACCGAAGCTGGCGAAGTGAAGAAACTCAGGAACGGGAAAGACCAAGGACAGGAAGCGAATCATCACAGACTGGAATCTCAGCCCCATCTGGCAGAAGTAAGTTAGACCAGGGTGCCCGAAGAAGAGAGAGTGAGAAGTCTCTAGAAAATGAAACACTCAGTAAGGAGGAAGACTGTCACTCTCCAACTTCTAAGCCTCCCAAACCGATCAGCCTCTAAAAGTAATGCCAGCCCCTCCACCGAAGGAGAATGTGTGGGTGAAGTAAGTTCTAAAGCTCCTGCTTGATCTCAGAGCTCAGACACAGAGCACCAATCTCCTACAAGTGGTGGGGGGAAACTACCTCCAGCTCAGCCTTCTGAGGAGGGACCAGCAAGGAAAGATGAAAATAATGGAATGAGTACCCAAAAAGGCCAAACTGGGAACTCCATCCGTGGTCCAGGAGATGGAGGGAACAAAGACCATTGGAAGGAGTCAGATAGGAAAGATGGCAAAAAGGATCAAGACTCTAGATCTGCACCTGAGCCAAAGAAACTTGAGGAAAATCCAGCCTCCAAGTTCAGTTCTGCAAGCAAGTATGCTGCTCTCTGCATGGATGGTGAAGATGATAATGAAGGAGAAGACTACACTGAATAGACATCTACATCCTGTGCTTTCTCCTAGTCTTTCTCCACCCTGAAATTCAAGAGCAAATCAAACTTCTATCCAGTCAAGGCAAAATAAAGCTCACCATCTTCCTGGAGACTTTTCTTAACTTTTTTTTTTTTTAATGAAATTCTTTTGCATGCTGCTGCAGCCTTTTAAAGTATTGAAGTAACCGGAGAATCACCATTATAGTCAGAAACAGAGACTACAGCTTTTTAATGGAAAAATTGTGGTGTGTTCTTAGGATACCATGCAATTGCCTGTGTGATTAGTGCCTAGGGGTCTCCATTTAGCAAAAATGGTAATGACAGTGATACGATGTCTGGAGTGGTTGAGCAGTAGGGGAGGGATAAGGAACAGTGAGGTTTCTACCTTTTCATTCTTGTTGTGGCTTATATGAATTCTCAAGCATTATCTGAATAAATTTTCCATCCTTGGAAAGGTAGATTTTCTCTTTCAAATTGTTTGTCTCCAGGAGGCTGCCAACCCTTCCTCTTATTTTTATTCTGAGTTGATGGAGCCAGCCTAGGGGAAATGCCTTTAGTGTTTACCCCCTAGGGGTGTAGTTGGGAGTGTGTCTACAGGCCACTGAAGAATACAATTGCTTGGGGACCAAAATAATGGGGAAATTGTGCTTGGAGGAGAGATTTAGGGAGGTGATGGATTATTTTGCACCAGGTAGTAGGGGAAAGTGGTGTGACCTGATAAACACATGAATGGTTATTTCCTAGAGCAGGAAGCACTTAGGGGTCATGGGAATTCCATTCTTGTGTCTTGATTGTGTCCTTTCTCTTACCATTTCTGAAAGTTTAAATACATTTACATTCTTTGGAAACCTTGAAGCTTTAACACATCCAGACTCTTAGGGCCCAGCATGGTGGCCTACACCTGTCATTCCAGCACTTAGGAGGCTGAGACAGGCGGATTGCTGCAAGTTTGAGGCTAGCGTGGGCTACAAAGTGAGTTCAAGACCAGTCTGGACTATATAGTAATGAGACTGGCTCAGAAAACAAAACAAAAAAACATTTTTTTTTTCAGACTCCTAACAATCTCATGTTCTTCATGCTGCTCTAACCTCCCTAAAACTAGTCTCTAGATCTAAAGATGCAGCCTCTTAGGCAATTTTTTATCTCAGCCACTGGATGCTGTGACATGAAGAATCACTGCTTTTCTCAAAAAAAAAAAATCAGTTCTTTGATGTGTTTTAATTCATTCCTTCCCTTCTGCTCTGACCCCTTTTATAGATCAGAATGCTCTATGTTGATCTTTGGTGATGAATAAGTAGAGAAATAGGGACAGTTACATGGAAGCTTTTCTTACAATCTCAATTGGGGGAGCTGGGGGTTTAGTTTGTTTTCATAACTTTTCACTGAAGTCCCACACCAATGCTTGGGTTATAATATGGCCTAGGTCAGTGTGTGGCTTTCTGCTTGTGGGAGGGGATGTGGTTTTTAGCTTGAGAGAATAAATGATAAATATTTCACAAGGTCCTGTTTTCTCTTGGAACACAATAGCTTTAGTTGGGGGTCAGCTTGGTAAATAAGATTTCTTCTCACTGGGCAGTACTGGTGCTGCTGACAGATGATGGTTGGTCTCTTTATTTGCAAGGCTTTCTCCCATTGGTCCTAGGGTAGCCTTTCTGGCCCTGCAGAGGGTATGTGCCCTGTGACTGTGAGCTGCGGCAGTGGGCATAATGAGCCATTTACCTAGTGGACTAAAGGTATACCTAGTAAATTACCATTAATTGGTGGGGTTGGCAAGTAATTAGGACGCAGGCTTTTAGACATACCCAAAGTTGAACGGGTTTTCTTCTAAAACCATTGGTTGTAGATAATGAAAAGGTAGTTTACTCTCTTTACTTCTGCTCTTCTGAATAGTTGTATACAAAAAAGCTATTTTGTCCCACTCCCCTTCCTTGCCTCCACTAAATAGAAACAGGGACTGGTTTAGGTCTTCTGGATACGTGTAAAATTTGTACAAAAATATCTTCTATAAAAATGATTTGTAACCTGTAGACTTACTACCTGGGAGATGTCTTGAGATGTAAAATCCCATCCTTTGGGTTGTGGGTTTTTTTTGTTTTGGGTTTTTTGTTTTTGTGTTTGTTTTTCTCCAAATAAATTAGATGTTTAAAAAAACAAACACAAAAACAAAAACAAAAAAACTTGGAGAGTGAGGGAGCAGGACTGAAAGTTTAGCTGTCCCTTTGGTTCAGTCTCCACCCCCACCACCACTTCCTGTAATGGCGACTCCAGGCAGCTGCGGGTCCACTCCGGGTTCCTCAATCCCCACTCCAAGGCAGCGCCAGTGTGTACTGCTATTGTGGGACCTTTGAAAGAAGGAGGCCCAGTCTGCAGGCAAAGCCACTACTAATTCACTACAAGTAGAATCTCCCCCAACACTTGGGTATGGCAGCAATGAAGCCATAATGGCCCTGAGTGTGACGAAAGTAATTCCGCAGGATGGCAGCATTGTGCCTTGGCTGAGTCTTACTGAAGTCTTCTCCCGCCCTTCCCATTGGAAAAAAGCAACTCAAAGATTCAAAAAGTCCAGGAAAGATGGCTGCCTTGTACTTTACCTGGCCTGGTGCCACCAGCTCACTGTGGAAGGGGTCTTTTAGTGTGGTTTTGGGAGGTCCTTAGCCACATTCCTTCTTTGGGACTCTCCTGATGTATCAGGATGCCTCTGAACATTGCTGATGCCCTGTTATGGATCCTGGAGAGTGGAAGGCCCCTTGTCAGCCAGCAGGGCCCAGGGCTTCTGATGCAGGAGGATATGTGCAAGGTGAGGATGCTTTCCACTGTGCTCACTGGTAGAGGATTTCACTCCAAGTGAAACACAGGAATTTATGTGCGGAATTATTTGTTGTGTTTTCGTCCTGTGGAAGCCTTTTTTTGGTGTCATTCTGCTCTGGAGCCTGCATCATTGTATGGGGTATAAAGCACAAGGGACAAAGAGAGTTCCTAAGGACATGTTACAGGAACTGGAATACTTAGAGAGATTATCAATCATACTGAAATGTGTCTAGACTTATTTTAGGAATTAGAAAGCCCCAAAAGTGGTTCCTCCTATTTAGGCAAAGAATTCTAGAGCGTTTTTCTTAAGGAGATATTTCAAAAAAGCAACAAATACTCTGCTTTTTATGGTGAATCTAAACAAAAAGCATCACTTACGCCTTGACCTATTTTTGAAGGTTAAAGATAACTAAAGATGTGCTATTGGTCAGAAATTTTAAGAAACACAAGGAAAAATTTGAAAAACAAGTATTTACTTCTTTGTTGGACACACATAGATCTTTGTACTGATGTAGAGCATATCACTTTTTATATAACACTGAGTTTAGTGGGTTTCACAATTTGGAATAACATTTCTACAGCCTCCTAGAACGCTGAGATTACAGACATGAGGTAAACTTCATGCAATTAGATTAAAATACGAGACTAAGAATACCAATTTTTAAAACATATACATATATTTACTTAATATGTATAAAATGTATGTCTGTAAGTCAGTATCTATGGAGATGAAGAGGTTTTGATGTGTAAATACAATAATTGAGAACTCAGCATTTGATCAAAACCCACTAATGTAGGCCATTGTGATATAGGGGAATGAAACTCCTTACCTACCATATCCAGTATGAATTCCTGTTCTTTAAAAAAGTAGAATGAATTTGAGGAATAATAACGGTTAAGGGTAGAATATATTTATGGTGAGAAAGAAAGCTTCCTTCTGAGAGAGACAGAAGGGGTCCTGAGCAGGTTGCCAAGGATTTTTATTTTTGCAGGGACTGTTATAGAGTAAAATCATGAGATTTAATGGGTCAAAGGTGGGAAAAATGGGAATTTGCAAAGTGGGAGTGAACTGTGAACAGCCAGTAATATTAATTGCTCAGGTAAAATTGATTAAGTCAGGAACAAATGGGAAACTGAGGCACAGAATACTCTGGCATGCTTTCCAGCCTGACCCTTCCTGCAGGGGTAGGAGGCTGACTCCTGACTTCCTCAGGGTGATGGAGAACTATCTGGGTTACCAATCCTTGGTATGTGGTGTATTTGCTTTGCCTTCTGTTTTGAGATCTGGCCCATAGCAGGAGGAATTTCTTTTTTCCAAGGCTGCAAGATATGTGAACTTGTGCTTTGGCTCCTTTGAGGGTTCAGCCCTGTGAGATTAGCTGTTATTTCTCACTAACTCAGCTTTCTCAGATAGCTATAGTCAGGAGGTTGAGGCAGGAGGATCCTTGGATTTCGAGAGTTTTAGGCTTTTGCAAAGTGAGTTCAAAGCCACCCCAAACTGCATATGAGACCTTGTCTTAAAAAGAAAATAGAGCATTGTGAATCTCTAATATTATGTTTTTAAATTTTATATCATCCTTTTAATTCTTTTTTTCCTTTTAAAATAAAAGAACAGTTATCACTGTGTAATACAAAGGTTTATGAGGGGGCCTGAATCTTCACGAGGGCATGGCTATTTCCTAAATCCCGCTGATGATACATGTTGAGTTATCAAGGAGACATGTACGAGCTGTCCCTAACAGAAAACAACAAACAACATACAGATTACAGCCCTGGGAACACAGGACAGGCCACTGACTGGGAGAAAATGCTTTTATTCCATTCTTCAAGGATAAATACATGGGCCAAAATCATCTCTCCCGCATGAATATATACACATTGAATATATGAGTCCCTCCAGGTAAGCACTGCTCAGCCTTTAGGGTGTGAGGCCACCCCTAAAGTCAGCCTGTGGGGAACACACAGGGACTGGGGCTCAGCTTGAAAGTGCAGTGGGACTTTCCGGAAACCTGGACTCTAAGTCAGGAGCAAGCAAGGAAGCACACTGCAGCCTGGAGTTGTTCCTCAGGAAGCCCGAGTTTTAAGTATTTCATTTTCCTTCCTAGGCATTGATCCCTGTGGCTTGGTCATCAATACCAAGAAGACAATTTGATGATCAAGAGCAATCTCTCTTGATCATTCTACCTCTCTTGGAGGTAGAATGCTGGGTGAAGAAGGACAATAAGAGGAAGACTGGAGCTTTGAAACTGGTTCTAGAAAAAAAAGGCTGGTGCTGAGTTCCATTTGGAAAACAACAACAACAAAAAAAAGGAATGAAGAAAGAAACAAAATGACAAGCTGTCTGAGGACCGTGAGTAGTTTAGACTTCACTATTACAAAATTATTAAAATGTTAATTTTCATATTTGTGGAGCTGGCAAGACGTCATAGGACCTTGAGTATCAAATCTGTAAGGACATCAACTTGAAAGCCAAAGCACTACACTGACAGTGGTTCCATGTTCTCTAGAGAAGCAATGGATAAGGTTCTTCTAGGTTTGTCTTTGTCTTTTTCAGCGTTTTTTCCAACCGCGAAGGGCGGAGGGAGAGAGGAGGAGACACTGGGTATTTGGCACTTGCAGAGCAACACTGCCATCCTGCGGAAGAAGTTTCATGAAGCCCCAAGTGCAGAGCAGCTCCTCTGTGAAGAGCAGGAGCCAGCAAAGAAAGCAGGGCTTCCTGATGTCACACAGAGCCAGATCCAAGTTGTCTTCTACCCTTTCTTTGTGAGGCCAGCAGAAGGAAGGCAGAGATGCGGAGTGCTGGAGCAAAACTTGGAGAGTGAGGGAGCAGGACTGAAAGTTTAGCTGTTGCTTGGGTCCATCCCCACCCCCACCCCCACTTCCTGTAATGGCCAGGACTTCCTGTAATGGCGGCTCCAGGCAGCTGCAGGTTCATTAGTGGTCCCTCAGTCCCCACTCCAAGGCACCACCAGTGTGTACTGCTCTTGTGGAACCTTGAAATGAAGTAAGCCCAGTCTGGAGCCGAAGCCCGTACTAATCACTACATGTAGAATATTCCTGAACAGTTGCTTATAACATCAAGGCAGCTATAATGGCGCTGGGTATGAGAAAAGTCCTTCCGCACGATGGCAGCATTGCTCCATGCCAAATCTTACTGAACTCTTCTCCCGCCCTTTCTGTTGTCAAAAAACAAGTCAAAGAGTGAAAAAGTCCAGGAAAGATGGCTGCCTTGTAGTTTACCTGGCCTGGTGCCACCAGCTCACTGTGAGGGGCTTTTGCTCTGGTTTTTGGAGGCCCTTAGCCACATTCTTCTTTGGGACTCTCCTGATTTTTCAGGATCCATGTGAACATTGCTGATGCCCTGTTACAGAACCTGGAGGGTGGAAGGTCAGTTGTCATCCAGCAGAGCACAGGGATTCTGATGCAGGAGGACATGTACAAGTCTGAGGATGCTTTCTATGGTGGGCTGTGTTAGAGGATTTCACTCCAAGTGAAACACAGGAATTTATGTGGGGAATTAATTTTGTGTTTTTGTGCTTTGGGAGCTTCCACTTGTTGTCACTCGACTCTGGCGCCTGCATCCTTGTAGCAGGATTAGCTGAAGTGACAAAGAGAGTTCCTAGTTTTAAGTTACTGGAATTGGACTACTTAGTGAGACTGTCAATTGTAGAGAAATGTGTCTAGACTTATTTGTGGAATTAGAAAGCCCCAATAGTGGGTCTTCCTATTCAAACAAAGAATTCTGGAGAGTTTTTCTTAAGGGGAAATTTCAAAAAGCCACAGATACTCCCCATATTGTGGTGAGTCCAAACAATAAGCATCTCGTTCACCTCCATCAATTTTTGACACTTAAAGATGACTAAAGAGGTGGTATTGGTCTGCAATTTTAAGAAACTCAAGGAAAATTCTGAAAAACAAAAGTATTTAATATCCTTGTTGGAGACATGTAGCACCACCTGCGACAACCCCTCACTCCCCCAGACATGACCATTCCAATGTGTATACTGTAAGGATGCACAGCTGTTTCTTGAAAGGCAAAAAGCATTCATGAAAAGTGATGTTAGTGAGGATGGTGAAATAAGGAATACAAGACTCCTTGTCTGCACAGAAGCATCAAAGGGCTAAGGGTAAACCTGTAAGATATTACAGAGACTACCTTTACACAGCTTTGCATCTCCTCAAAAACTTTAGCTTTGGAACGCTTCAACTGAAAAGACAGTTTTTTTAGTTTCTTGCTTTTTAGAGATGGTGCTATGGCATTTGAAACTGCCTGTTTGCAATGAATGGCACAGACTCTGAAAAGTTTTAGAAAATAACCAATGAGATGAATAAATTGTCCTTTAAAGAATGAACTGCATAGAAAAACCCTGATCCTATCATATGACCCTCCTGAAAAGAAAAAACTACATCCGAATCACAGCACTTAATATTAGAGTAAAAAATTGAAGAATGATAACAAATTCCATAGAAATCTTCAGGAATAGGAGTAAATACCTTGCAAATGCATACTGTAACTGATTACAGAATTCAGAAGAAATACACACACACACACACACACACACACACACACACACACACACAAAGAAAAACTACCAAGAAAAAATACATAGCCTAAAAAAAAAAAAATCCATTGACGGGAAATTAAATGGAAGATGTAATGTAATAACATAACAATTAAGGAAATTCTAGGTCTTGGTGGATGCAGTGCACAGTTCTGTAACCCCTTTAATGAAAATCTATCACTATTACTCCCCAACAGTTTTACAAAATTGAAAGGATTACTCTGAGAACCATTCCTGAGATGAGCCATTACCATGGTCCCTAAATCAAGAAATGTCCAAACCAAAAAAAGAAAACTAAATCACAATTTTCAATGAACAAAACACATACTTCCTGAAGAAAATGCTGGTAATAAGAATGTAACTAACTCATCGAAAAGAGAATACAACCTGAAGAAGTAGGATTTCTTTTGGGGACACAGGTGTTGTCATGTGAATGTGTGAGTTGAGAGATTTCAGTGTTTAAGGGTCCTAATCTTTGCTTTCTTTCTTTGGCACATTTAAAGGCAGACTTTTAATATTTCTTCTACTACTCAGACAGGGTCAACGCAAGTTGGTACCCAGAGAGTTAGTGCCTCAAAATCAAACTTTAGGAGACAAGCTTTTCATTCTGCAGATTTGAAGGATTGAAACAACAGTCTTTACAGTGATGTAGAGGACATCCCTTTCTGTTTTACACTGAGTCTAGTGGGTTTCAGAATTTGGAATAACACTGCCTCAGCCTCCAAGATCGCTGAGATTACAGACATGTTCATTACAGACAGGCTTCATGGAACTAGGATAAAACTATGTGACTAAGAATACCAATTTTTAAAGAATATATACATTTACATAGCATGTATAGACCATATATGTGTAAACATGTATCTATAAAGATGAATAGGGTTATAGGGGTAAAAATGATAAAGGAGAACCTAGCATTTGATCACAAGCCACTAATGAAGACCATTGTGATAATGGGGAATGAAACTCCTGACCTACCATGTCCAGGATAAGTTTTCTTCCCTAAAACAGAATGCATTTTATTAACAATGAAGGTTCAGAGTAGAATATATTTATGGACAGAAAGAAAGCTTCTGTTGGAGAGAGACAGAAGGGGTCCTGAGCAGGTTGCCAAAGACTCTGATTTTTCCAGGTACTTTTAATACAGTAAAATCATGAGATTAAATGGGTCAGAGGTGGGGAAAAATAGCAATTTACAAGGTGAGAGACAACTGGGTTCCCCCTGTATGATTAATGGCCCAGGTACAATTGATTAAATCAGGAACAAATGGAGCATAGAGGCACAGAATAAGCTGGCATGCTTTGCAGCCTGAGGCTTCCTGTGAGGTTAGGAAGCTGACCCCTGACTTCCTCAGGGTGATGGAGAGCTATTTGAGTTACCAATGCTTGGTATGTGCATGTATTTCTTTGGCTCCTCTCTTAAGATCTGGCCATAGCAGGGGATGTTTGTTTCTTCCTAGGCTGCAAGGTATGTGAACCTGTGCTCTGGCTCCTTTGAGGGCTCAGCCCTGTCAGAATGCCTGTTATTTCTCACTAACTCAGCTTCCTGTGACAGCTACAGTCAGGAGGCTGAGACAAGGAGGATCCTTGAATTTAGAGATTCTTAGGCTTTTACAAAGTGAGTTCAAAGTCAGCTGAAACCCTGTAGGAGACCTTGCCTTTTTTTTTTTTTTTTTTACCATTACCAGGTATAGAACTCATGAACACATGCTTCCAAGGTAGGCGCTTATGCCTCTCAGCTAAATCCCCAGCCAGAGACCTTGTCTTAAAAAGAAAAATAACCATTGTGAATCTCTAATACTATTTTTTAAATTTTGTATTATCCTTTTTCTTTTTTTCCTTTTAAAATAAAAGAACAGTTATCACTGGGTACTACCAAGGTTTATGATAGGGCCTGACTCTTCATGAGGACATGGCTATTTCCTTAATCCCTCTGATGGTCCATGTTGAGTTATCAAGGAGACATGTACAAGCTGTCCCTAACAGAAAACAACAAACAACATACAGACCACAGCCCTCGGAACACGGGACAGGCTAGTTACTGGGACAAAATTATTTTACACCATTCTTCAATTATAAATACATGGGCCATAATCTTCTCTGCAACATGAATATATACACATTGAATATATGCGTCCCTCTAGGTAAACATTGCTCAGCCTTCAAGGTGTGAGGCCCCCCTAAGGTCAGCCTGTGGGGTACACACAGGGACTGGGGCTCAGGTCAGAAACTGCAATGGGACTGCAGGATACCTGGAATCTGAGTCAGGAGCAAGCAAGGAAGCACACTGCAGCCTGGAATTGTTCCTCAGGAAGCCCAGAGTTTTAAGTATGTTATTTTCCTTCCTAGGCATTGATCCCTGTGGCTTGGTCATCAATACCAAGAAGTGAATTTGATATCAAGAGCAATCTCTCTTGATCATTCTACCTCTCTTGGAGGTAGAATGCTGGCTGAAGAAGGACAATAAGAGGAAGACTGGACCTTTGAAACTGGTTCCAGATAAGAAAGGCTGGTGCTGAGTTCCATTTGGAAAGAAACAAACAAACAAAAAAAAGGAATGAAGAAAGAAAGAAAAAGACAAGCTGTCTGATGACTGTGAGTAGCTTAGACATCATTATTACAAAATTATTAAAATATTAATTTTCATATTTGTGGAGCTGGGAAGAAGTCACAGGAGCTTGAGTATCAAATCTATACTGACATTAACTTGAAAGCCATAGCACTATACTAACAGTTTGTCCATGTTCTCTAGACAAAGAATAGGTAAAGTTCTTTTAGGTTTGTCTTTGTCTTTTTTAGCGT